AAAGCAGTGGCATGTTCTCTAGAAAAACTCTGACGAAGTAAAAGATACTCCTTTGTCTTTCAGGGAAGGAAGAGACTAATGTACACAAAGAATTCTTTGTCTTTATGTTTTCCACATTTATACATTTTAGTAGACTCATACCTTTTCATCTAGACTTTGCTGTTATTAATGCCACATAATTGGAAGGAATAAGTCAATGTTACCAGATCTTTCTCAAGTCCTTAGTCAAAGCCAAGAAATGGGAGTTATCATTTCTGAATCCTTAGGTTCCACAATGTTTTTCCAAAGAACTAGTTCAAGTTCTGAACAATTTTTACTACCTACAGGAAAGGATATGTTGAAATTTGAAAGAATAGTTAGGTATATATAGGACAGAAAATCTTAATTTATACCTGTGTTAAGAACTTTGGTTTGTTTTTTTTGTTTGTTTTGTTTTGTTTTTGAGAGGTTTTTTCTATAGGGTGCGTGCGCTCGCCAGGCAGAGAGAGACAGAGAGATAGAAAGCAAGAAATCACTTCCCAGGGGGCATGGCCATGCCGCAATCCCTTCTCTTCCATTCTCCTCTCGGGATCTAGGGCACGGACACACATGCGCCCAGCGTGAGTCCAGCGACATAGCCATTACGCTAACTGTTGGTCCCGAGAACTGTGGTTGTTTTTGAAACCCTTAATAATGTGTCGTCAGAAAAGTCATGATACATTTTTGCATAGAAAAATATGTCATGACTTTTCAATGACACCATAGTTAGCCAATGAAATGTTTGTTCCTGGAGCGTAATAGTGTATTCCACATATTAATTTTGAATGGACTTGTATTGAGTGCATGTAGGATATCCTAGTACCCATATCTGGTAAGGAATTGAATAGAAATGAGTCTCAAGACCAAAGACAAGGATGAGCTGGGAATAAATTCTGGGGAGAAATCTCCTCTGGATGATAGAAACATGACATTAGCTACAGTGACGAACAAAGTATACACATCTTTAAGAAAACACCGTTTTGAGCTTATAGCCCTAAACAAAACCAGCATTTAAATGGCAAATACAGGAAGGCTCCAGAAGGAGAGCCGTCATCCCTAGTTAAAGTATTCTATATCTGAGAGTCCAAGGGAGACAATATAAAAGAAGGTGGGTGGCCAGCAGATTCTAATGAGGCAGTTTAGAGCTACTAAAATGCATGGCAAGTCTTAATCTTCTGCTTAGGGCATAGGTTGGAAGATCTAGGCTATGTCCATTCCAGGTGGTAAAACCAAGCTCAAGACTGCAGTAGATGTTGTCTCTAGATAACCATCTAATAATGATATGAGAAGGAATGCTTTCATTGGTGAGAGGGGTTGTGAAGGAGATCTGGCTGTGACATCTGTTACCTCATTGATTGCCAGGGTTGAGTTGCCGATCTGGCCAGTTAAGCCAGTGTCCTCTTCCTCCTCCTCTTCTCCATGGGCATCTCTCCCAAAGCTGTGATCTTTGGTCAAAGAAGATGACCTTCTTCGATAGATGAGGACCCTTCTTTGGTCAAGGTTGTAAGAGCTGGTGCATTCCCCTGCTAGAACCTCCACACAAGCTCTCATTGGTAAGAGGTTAGCTATAATTCTTAGCTCCTCTGGAAATCTAAGATTCCACTATGCTATTACAGTATCAAATCAGCTCAACTTTGAATCATTGGCAGTAAGATTTGAATAGCAGGATCTACTCTACAGACTTTCATTAGTGAGAAATGGCAACACTTTAAAGTTGAATGTATTGGATTGTCACACAAGTCATTTTAAGTGCCCATAGAAACTTACAGCCTTTCATGTGCACACACTCAGCCCAAGCAGAAATGTGCATATAACCTGTACTCAACTATTTAGTATTTCGCTTTGCTTTTTGACTTTTAATTCAAACTAAACATTAATCTAAGAAGTTTTGATAATAACCCATGAACTTCATCTCTTTTAAAAGGTAGTGTAGCTCTCTTCCTGTAGTGTAACCATAGCAACTGACAAGGAACAGAGAAAGAAAGCTTTCACACATGCTGTGCTAATTAATCCTGTCCTACAGTTTTCCTTCAGCTGGAGGATGCAGTTTAATAAATTTTGCATGAGTAAGCGTGTTTTGATGCATGAACTGTATAAATACATAGCTTTATCTTTACCAAAAGTATTTGGAAAATATAGTTTCTATACATACTTCAAGGTGTACATTTTTTGAGTCATTGTTTTAATAATTTGTTCCTTCCCTGAAAATTTGTGGGATGTATTTCTCTTATTAACCAAACCAAACATTTTTAGGGTGAAACCTTTTGTTCATCAATATGCAAGATATTTCCCACAAGAAACTGTTTTAATTGACTGACTATATTAAATTGAGATGATGAGTTTTCCTCAAACAATGCAAAAGAATGTATTTCAAGTATATAAGAATATTCTTGATCCTGTGTGATACTTCTGCATGCAGATGATTTTAAGAAACTCAGTCTTAATGTTCTGACAAGTGAGATATTGCAAACTCATTATCACCATGTTTTGGGATGTTATGTGGCCCATCTGAATAAATTTGGGACACTCTCTGACCTAAATATATGGGAAGGGAGAGACTAATGTATACTAAATTCTTTTTTTAAGACTTAATTTATTACTTATTAATTATTTATTTTAATTTGACCAGAGAGAGACAGAGTGGGAGAGAGAGAGAGAAAGTGAGAAAGCAAGCCGTCAGGGTCGGGACTCAAACTGTGGTCGGCCGTGTGGGGGGCCCAACATCCTTAACCACCATGCCACCTGCTGGCCCCAGAAGAGACTAATGTAGACAAAAAACTTCTTCTATTTATATTTTCCATAAATACTTAACTAGTTTTAAAAACTCATATCCACAGTAAACATAATTGATCTGAATTATGTATAATTATATTGATGTATACTGTTTCTAGGTTACTTTAAGGTCTTATCATCCCTTTACAGTGGGAAATATCATAATTTTTTATCACTGGTTTGGTCATCTGAACTGTCAAAGAATATCAATTTTTTTTTCATTCTTTTACCCCTCTGGCTTAGTTTTTTGACAACAGGACCTTGTGAAAACCAAAGAAATTCAGCCAGAATGTTTTTTGCATCCTATTTGATTCGACAACAACATATGGAGTGAGTCAGAACTTATTTTAGGACTTGTGCTTAGTTCTTTGGTTTCTGTATGGAAGCATAGTCATTTGAGGAACGAAACCTTTTGATGGGATTACCAAATTTTTGAGACACTTTTAACCATCCTGATTGTACAATCTGTTGTTCGATTTTGCCTGAATTTGATGTAGGATAAAACCTTGTGGATAAAGGAAGTAAAAGGTTATTATAAAAACCTGTTATTGAGAATAGTTATTCCATTCATGTGCAGAAAAATTGGGGACTATGAATGTGGGAGTATGTTTGTGTGTATCTATCTGTAGATCTTAATATGGAATACTTATATATGTTAATCGATTTATTATATGCCATTGCATTTTTTAAAGTCGTATCTTAGAAAGAAATTGAGTGACTGTATAATTGAATTAATTAGGAATTCTTTGTCTTACCAGCTGTCCTATCAATTTTTAAATTCACATGTAATACAGAAAATGGAATGCCATGTTTAATAAACATTAAAATGTTTTGTTTCTAAATACTACATAAAAATTTTAATCAGAACATTAAAATGACTATGTTACAATAGGTTCACTGTAAACATTTCATGTGTTTCAAATATCCTAATGATAGATAATGCTTTACATTTGTCATTAATGAACATAGCCATAGAGAAAATTTTCACACAGAGCATTTTTTAATTTTTAAAAATAGTATCTATGCATTTGTGATTTTTTGAAGTATAACATTTTCATTGCACAAAACTTAGAAAACACTCAAAAAATCTTACTAAATTAAAAAAATGGATAATCAATTATTCTAGAGGAAACTACTGAAGACATTTAAGTATATTCTCTGAGTCCTTTTTATGCATTAGTATTCATGATTATAAGGTCAAACTACATGTACTTCTTTTCCTAACACATCATTATTACCATTTTCCCAGTTTCTGAAACATTCTCAAAAGACATTTTCTCATTGGATCTCTCATCATCTAAACATAGCACATTCATTTGACTATTTTTTTTTAGTAATAATTCCTTTGGGTGGTTTTCAAATGAACTTCCTCAATAAGCACTTCCTAGTTGAGTGTTTCACAGAACAGTGATACCACATGAAGCTTTAAGGCAACCCTTTGAGAAAAGTGTCATGCTCTCTTCTTGCATATTCACAATACATTTTAGAAAAATTAACATGAAGAAGTCTTGCAATTTGGAGACTCCATAACTTTCTAAATGATGTTTTCTCTCTCTCTTTTTTTTTTTTTTTTGGAGAGGTTTTTGCTATAGGGCGCGTGCGCTTGCCAGACAGACAGAGAGACAGAAAGTGAGAAATCACCTCCAGGGGGGATGGCCACGCTGCAATCCCTTCTCCTCCGTTCTCCTCTCCGGATCTTAAGCATGCGCGCACATGTGCCTGGCGTGAGTTTTAAGCCACCAGGTCCGGGACGTGAACCGTGGTGGACTGCATGGGAGTCCAGTGACATAGCCATTACACTAACTGCTGGTCCCATGTTTTCTTAAAGTTATTATGGAGCCTTTTCTCATAACTTAGAAGTTTATAACTCAAAACTAGAGCTCCATGAAACACACTTTGTAAAAATCTAGCTATCTAAGCTTCTGTTATATCTAATAGTTGATGAATTATTTATTTACTCTGCTGATTTTTTTACATTCATGACACCAAGGCTTTATTAGAAATATGAATGATTTTAATGGTGATTAGCATGCATTTAAAACAGAGAGACCAATATACGTTCTCCAACCTTTCTATGAACCTTGACATTGCATTTATAATATTGTATTACAATATCATGTTTGCCCTTTTAAAATCCTGAACATTCAAATTTAAATTCCCTTGTTCTGGTAATTCCTATTAACCTTTTTTATGTTTTATGTAACCCACAGGTCTTGCAAGAGCAAAATCTGTCCCTAGTCATACATACTCCAATGAAGTAGTTACTTTGTGGTACAGACCTCCAGATGTACTCCTGGGATCAACAGAATATTCCACCTGCCTTGACATGTGGTGAGCAATGGAAGCTTTACTCTAGCTAATTTGTCGGTGGTAGATGGTCTGGGTCAAGCCTAAACAAACATTCTAACAGTTCAAATGAAGATTAATAGCGCTGGAGTGTTTGCCTGTAGGAGGCAATACCTTAGATTTTTAAAAACATGATTGGGATGTTCCCTGATCAGAATCTGTCTTGCAGATGGTGCCTGGTAATGGTTCTTGATGGACAGGGGAAGAGACATTTTTCTAACTGTCAGTACTATGGTTATTCTCCTTCAAGGTCTTAATTTGTCACTTTGTTTTATAAGAAAGTGTAGTATATTTACTTATAGTAACAGGGTTGGAAGTATCAGGGAACATGTTTGCATTCACAACGAAGTTCAGAGAAGTGATCTGAAAATTTTGGTTTAACAGTTAGGCTCACAAACAAACTGGCTCACAGTATACCACTGAAAATAGTTGATACTAATTATTCAAAATGAAATAAAATAATTACTTTATAAAAATATCTTAAACTTAACCTCAGTAGAGTCTTAGTTTTACACAATGGTCTATCTAGCACAGGGTAAAAACCTACTTTATGTGGTCCCGTAGCAAACTTTAATGTATAATCCTAATTGAAGATAAACTATGGTGTGATCTAAATAAAATAAATAAAATTAAAATATTATTTTTAGCACTCAGAGCAGGCTTCCTAATGGCTATTGAGTATATATTTTATTGACAGAAAGCCCTCTTTTCTAGATAACAGTTATATTCAAAGTGAAACAATTCACATAGCATGTGGCTATTTTATTATACATATCATCTTCTCCAAATTATATTGCTCTTCTGTATAATATTCCCAGAGATAGTATAATATTTATCAATTCAGTAGAAGTTAAACTTCAGCACGTGTTGTTTATCTTACTGCTGGGTATTTACTTCACTGTTCTGCCCTCAGTGATCTTGGCTTTAAGTAAATTAGGCTGTGATGAGGCCTGGCTTCTTTCCTGATGTTTTTGATCCAAAAAGCTCATGGTGAAAAAACAGTCAAGTTCCTTGCAATATAGGGCACAGTGCAGACTTTCTTAATTTAGGTTTCAGAAGCCTGAGAAAGGGAATTTGGAATCTATAAAGCCACTGAAAATATATGTGACATTTTGCATGCACAGGAATATATTTATTTTTATGGGGTATAGATCTGTAGCCTTCAATAGAACTATAAAAGTATCTAAGCCTTCAAACAGCCTAAGATCTGTTGTCATAAAGTTTGTAGTGCCTTATAATAAATCTAATACCATTTTAATGATGTTTTAAAATCTGAGACTAAAGACAACCATTTATCATTGAAGGGTTGATCTAATTCATTTTTTCATCACACTTTATGGTATTTTTCTCTCTCTCTCTCTTTCTCTCTCTCTCTCTTTTTTTTTTTGACGGTTGTTTGCACAGTTTAGATATTTCCCCCCGTTTCTTACCCTCAGCTGGGCAGGGACTTGGGCAAAGTAGATAGTTAGATCATTAGTTATACCGAAAGAAAGGGTTGGAAATATAGGCCAATGAATGAATCAGGATATTATTCTAGTTACTAACTTTCTCATTCCTTTCCTACTTCCTGCCTTACAGTTGAAAGTTGGCTATGCAAATAATCATTACTTAATGTTCTTGAATTATGGGGTGTTTTTTCTCTTTTTTCTGAGTATGGAAATTCCAAATCATTTTTCCATGAGGTCAGTTAAGGACTCTGCTAATAAAACATAGTTTGGAACCATTTGTGGCTTGGAGCCAGTTTTGTCTTCATTGCTTGGCAATACAGTCAAGACAGTGCCCTCCTAATCAGGAGAAGCTGTTTTTTATACAGTAGTGGCTAATTTTTCTCAAACTTCTAAATGTGCTCATTAGAGGACAGAGTCACACGGACTGTGGCTTGCTAATATGCCTATTTCTGATGTATAGTATTTGATTTCCAGTCTCTGACTCTTTGCTCCTTGTGTGTGTGTGTGTGTGTGTGTGTGTGAAGGAAACCAGCTTGGGCACTTTCTACCAATTTGCTTTCAACAGAGACATAATGGAAGCACAAGAAGACTGTTATTTAAGTGGAAGGGAGGAAAACTGATAGAAAATAATAGCCCCCAAATGCCCGTTTGTCTACATGCCAAGATTATTCATTGCCAAAAACAAATAGTGAATGTGTTATGTTTGAGCAGTTTCCATCCTGATTGGCTCTTTACTTCCAAACCCCCAAATCTCAGTAATGTGTAGGCTGTGCCTGTCATTCTGAATTCGATTTCATCCTAAGCCATTTTTTAACATCTATTTTGTTATTATCCTATAAGTCAGGTAAAGTGTATATGTTTTTCCAGTTAGATGTTCACAGGGCTCTGCTTTTTATATAATCAATGACATGGATGCTGGTTATTCAGAGACCTAGAAATGGGACTATAATTGAGTCATGGCTCAGCTGCACCAGAGTAGTGCAAATATTAACCCGTGGACAATAGCAGGGAGGCAGGTGGCAGTGGTTTCAGGCTATTCCTTCCAGTTCATTTACCATTGTGGGGCAGTAGGGTGGTAAGTAAAAACTAACGACCCCTACACATTGTTACATTTTCCAGTTCTCTGTTTAAATAGCCCAGGGCAATAAAAATATTAATGAAGATGCATATGCATTGACATCGCCAGATAGTGATGGAAATCTAAGCTAGCCCTAGTTATGATTTACTCCTCTGGATCACCACACCATGGCGACACATGGTGCTATTGGAGAAGTCATCCAGAGAGATAGCTTTTGATACTTTGTCTTCCTCTGTGAAGGAGGGTTTAGCAAACGCATCACACCGAACATTGCCTCTTGTAACTTCTCTTAATTCTTGGATTTTATAACTCTTTGAAAAGTCAAAGCAAAGGAAATGATTGCTAAGCTTCAATACCAAAAAGGCTTACCAAGTTCTGAAAAACCACTTCAAGAGAAGTGTAAATGTAAAATGCAGCTTATCTGTGTAGTTTTTCCATTGCCAGGGGGCTCTGCTCTGACTGGTGAGGTCCTTGCCCCAAGTAAGCTTATTTATCTTTATAGAAGCTCATCAGTATGTTTACAGCTGCATTTCAAAAACAGAGGGTCACATGGGATTATTTTAAGGGATTCGTTTTTAATATAGGGTGACTAAGTTATCTGTAACTAATAGATGATTATCTCATTAAGATCATAGTGCTTTAGAGAGGCCAAAATATGTAGTAGCATTACCCCTGGTATCAACTACAGTGCTCCCCAACACAGTGTGTGAAGAATGATAGCGTGTCAGTCTCTTTCTTTCATCATCTTTTTAAAACACTAATTAACATATTAACTGTGCTTGTCAAACTGTGGGGCAAATCATTTATAAATAAGCCTGTCAAATGTAATGAGATTGCATATTAAAGTACCCGTTTCTCTATTACATCTCTGATTTAAGATTAAAATTAAATTTTTTTAGCATTGTAGCAGCTGGGTGATTAGAAAAAAAAATGTCCATAGTAATCTTGATATATAGAACTTGTGTGCATTAAAATTCATTTTGCATTTATCAGAAAAGAAATTGCCTATTTATTAAATATTATAAGGCCATTTAGCATTGTTCTGTATTAAATAGGCCTAATCAGCATACATATTGACAGTATACATCGTTGTGCTATCATCTTTAATGCTCTCCCTTGGAATAGGGAAATGTGTGTAATAAAACAAGGTTTCCTAGGGCTCAGGTTTATTTACCAGTGTTTTAAGGGAATTATACTACTACAGTTCCCACCCTGAAAATAAATTTGTTTCATAAGAGGGCTTATAGTTTGAGACTTGAGTAATAATAATGGTTATAATAACAGGTACTTTTATTGAACACAAACTGCATTCTAAGCACTGGTATGCATTTTAATTACTATTAGGTTGTCGGGAAAGTCAAGACATATTTTTCTATGTTTTTCTATTAAAAAAAAATGTGTCATGACTTTCCTGACAACTCCAGAGTTTTTGTACCGTAATACAGTGAAGAAAATGAAACTCAGGCAGTCTAAATCATATATTTAGATAGGTCAAACAGTCAATAAATAGAGCCAACATTTAAACTCAAGGCTAACCCACTCATAACGCTTTCTCTTTGCAACATATTAAGTAGTCTCCTGAGATGATTTATAAGAAATTGGTCCTTACTTTACCACTAATGTGATTCCAAAATGCAAATACAAGTAAATTTCTAGTTTATAAATGAGGCTATACTCTCAGTCCAGTTAGGTGCTTGCCCAGTTCAAATCTAGTGGGCGATTTTCACTCTCAACTAACAGCTTGTGGCCCGCCTTTCTCTTTTGACATCAGTGTTTTAGAGGATTCTACTGTTTATTTTTCTTCATGCAGAAATTTTTGAAATTAACTAAGACACGAATCACTGGATCAAATACATTTTCATGGGACCACTATCTATGCGGGTATATATTTTCGCAGCCCCTAACTATTACTCATTTACCACCGCTGCTCAAAAGAATGAGTCCATTTTTAAAAAGAATGGTACCAAGAATTCATATTTGAGTTCATGAGCTACATAAAGTCATCTGTCTGTCAACACTGTTTGCACATTTTCTAATTAATCAGGTCATAAGGCCAAGGAGAATGGAGAATATGAATTAGTCACTGTCAACCGTAGCAGCTCTGTAAGAGCTTTGAGAGCTGCTCCAGTAATGCAAATTCTGAGTGACTTGATGTAGCCTCTGACAAGCAATGAAACAACAAAAAAACAGTGATAGTCGGAAGACAGTCCAGGTTGTTGAAAGCTGAGGTCATGGGGGCAGCCATGGGCTTAAAGCCTTTTCCTACTATGAAATCCCTTAAAAATAGGGCAGCTTATCATCATACCAGGATACCTTTGAGAGTTCAATTAATTCTGCCAGGACAGTAGATGTAACAAAGCAATTTAACTGTGACATGCCGTCACCTTTTTCATTATGCATTAAAGCAATAATTTGCCAAATACCTGGTTGGAAGAGATTTCATGCATTTGAGAGTTTAG